AGTATACTCCGTTGTTATATGCAGCCGACGAATTAGTGTAGAGAGTTTAGTTAAAGACTGTTATTTTCCCGGGATAATTAAAAATGCAAGCTGGTATCCGGCTTTTATTATAGATAATCTGTCATTAAGAATGAAGACTATTAAAGTTACATTTGCAAGTTACGGCTAGGCACCAAAGCGGAAATGTGGGAGGGTTACTTTTTTGCATCCCCACGACTTGCAAGAGATTTAATAATATTTTTTATTATTTTTTGCCTTCAACATCCGCAACAATACATTTATCTTCGTCCACTTTTTAAATCACAATATGCAACAGCAATTGCTGATGCCCAAATTAGCAAAGACCATAAAAACCCCACACTTTGAAAACGAAGATTGCTCCTTATTCTGGTGTCCTGGTATTGGTTGCGCTTTAGGCTTGGCTTCCGGTACCGGAAGCGCGCAAAATGCGCGTGCGTGACCTGTCAATCAATTTTCTTTGGCACTTTTTGGCTAGTCTTGTTAGGCATGCATTGAATTCAGGAGATGTACCTGTGCACGTGGAAGTCTTTGCACAGGCGTCCTTTCGAATGCTGGATATAACTGGTAGTTCCCTGTCGGGATTTTTTTTTTCAGGGTAGCTTGGTGAGTTCCGTATATTTCTTTGAATTGTTATTGTTAATTGATATACCATTTGATCGTAATCAGTAAGAGATTTGCTGCTGTTTTTGTGTTTTGGATTTAAATCACTCTGTGGAGAATAGCCTATTTAATCTTTATTTTCGTTGGCAACATTTTGCATTGGCATTTTGCTGGAATAAAGTAGGGGCGCAGAATTATATTTTGGTGTGAAACTTAGTCACTCCCTCTATACCATGACGTAGGTTCGTTGCAGTGAAGGCTTTCTACTGGATGTGTATACAAGGAAACGCCAGGCTTGCTGCACGTGTCCGAGAATTTCTAAACTTCATGAGTACTCAGTCGATTTGCAGTTAATGAAGATTAGGCCTATGTTTCTATTTATCTATTTGTTTATGTAGGCTCAGACTTCAAGTAAAACGTAACTGCTGTCATTGGCTAAGGTAAAGTTAGTCATCAAAACTAATGAATATCCATACTAAAACATTAACAAGTAAGCCTACTTTTGATTTATTTTACTAGCCATGGTAACCCAAAGTTGACACAAACTCAAGACAGTCAAATAATCATCTCTTTTATACAGGTGTGGCTCTGAAAAGAGCCGTTTGGATTACTTTGATGTTACTAGTGGCCTGACGCCTTGCCCCGCCGTTCCACAACAACTGGGAGAACTTTCTGGAGGTGATTGACGTATCGCCTGCACTTGCTTGGCGTCATCTTGTTCCTCCAGAAGTCGCTGATGCCCCGGACAAGCTCCTCCTTCGTCGACGGCTTCACGTGCCTCCTCAAGCGGCCCTTAAGCTCTGCCCAAACTGATTCTATAGGATTGAGATCAGGACTTTCTGCAGGGGTGATCCACCAGTTAATGGCTAGCTGACCCCCCTAGGAAAAACAACACGCTGCCCCTCCGTTACTTGTGAAATGCCGATTATGGCACAATTGTGTGGGTGGACCTGTAAAAAGGACCCGAACCAACGTATAATCCGGAGGGGGGTACGAACATACCGGTGGAAGGCTTAGTTTAGGGAAATCCATTCCACCCAGTTTTTGTCTTAACGAAAACGGATGGTTGGTAGTTGCCAAGTTCTGCATAACCGTAAAGGGAATTGCACGTGCGCTTTTATGTTCACTTCAGTATTTCACGCAAGACGAAGACAATTTGAGTCACCACCACAACCGCGAGTCTTTTTTTTTTTAGAGAAAAATGTCTCCTTCTTGCTTACTCCAAGAAACGTGTCAGGCACCGTGAACATTGAAAGAGATTGTAGCTAGAAAACATCGAATTCTCTTCACCAAATGAAAGCTGTGGAGCGGGGTTTCCCGCCTTGCAATTTACCTCGGACGCCTATAACACAGAACACAACCCTCAGTCGTCCCATGGGTCATTGCATATAACAACGGAGTATACTGGTATCATTAAGTCAGTATTATACCATAGTATTTAAAATGTTATGTGATTTTGGGCTCCACGGCTCTGATCTAGCGGAATCTCATCCCATCTCATCTCTCCTCCCAACTGAATTTCCATATCAATTAGCAAGGTTATATCTTTGTCGGTTGATGCCAAATTTTT